CAAATTTCGCCGAATTTTGTAGATCATTCTAGATCTTCGATCTCAAATGATCTCCAATTTGGAATATGCCCAGACTGTATTAAAACATCTCAAACAAGTAATATATAGTACCAGCAACCAATTGAGTCAAATAACCTAATTCAAACTACATATTACACCAATTTTATATTTACATATAGAGTAGAACTATGGCACTATAGCACTATAATAATAATATTCTCTAAGTAAAAATCTCACTGTTTAGAAAGATTTAATAAAAAGATTATCACAGTAAGTTTAACTGGTTTTATTTGCCCACAAATTGACACATTTGTTATGTAAAAACACAAGACAGTATTGGAATAACTTGTGTTATAGCTTACTTTTTTTTTTATAACTTAGCACTGACAAAAGTAATACTGTTCTATTCATTATAAAAAGATTTTTCGTTTGTATTATATAAGTCTTGAAATTTTCTTTTAAAAAACAACTTGATATAATTAGAGATGTTTTGTAAATAATTTCAACACAAATTCAAATTCACTAACAGTAGTGATATTATTTCACCACACTGTTTTAATCTTTTAATGTGCTAAGTTACGTGTATAAATTTATTCTATAACTTTAATCAAAAATTTTTATATTGAATTTTTTACATTATTTTGCTTACATGACGTGACGTTCAATGTTTTATAAATTAATTACATTAGACTAATCAAAAATTCATAGATAATTTTCCCAAACTCTTTTCTAATATGTTTTCCTTCATTATTGATACCACCAATAACTAATTCGGGTCCTTGAGTTATTTCAAAAGCATCAATTTTTACTGTCAACTTATCTGGTGAAGGCTGTCCGTTTATAATTGATATTTTTCTAAACATATCCAAATAAAAAATGTGAATTCCATGTAAATGAGATTATGTAACTATATATTTGAAAACTTACATAGGACGTCTCCAAAGGGACTTTGAACATTTATTCTGTGTGATCTCTTGATTAGAAGATTCCGAAATTATAGGCGGTATATCTTTATATATAAGTAATAGTGCTATATCCACACACCAGTTACCTCCACCCGACACCACATTATCTAAACCAGTTAAATATATTAATTGCTCATGAATAATTCTTAATAGTAATAATATGAGTTCTCTTGAAAACAAATCTTGAAATTGTGCATGACCACGTGTTCTTATGTCACCATGTGGCAGATGAACAATCACTGATGTTGGTGATTCTAAAGTGAATCGAAGGCTATGTCTTTTGAAAAATTAAAACAGGACTACAATAAGCACCAGGAATTTATAAAGACCAGAAAAGCATTAAACGTTAAGCTCCAGGCACAATAGTTTTCACCCAATCTGAATTATATCACGTGCTTAAACATCCGGACATGCTGATCAAAACATCAATATAACGTACGTAGATCCTCTGACGCGCTCTGGGCTAAAACATATATATACACTTAAACACAAACTATACAGGAAGACATCAAAATTCCTGATCGGGGTCGGAACCATTGATTATTAACTAACTAAAAATGCCTAACTGATAATTTTGCTATAGCACAGTCGGATAGTATTGCTTAATCACGGCCCATCTCCGATGAATTCCGACCCGGAATTTTGTAGATTTCTCTGTAAAAATATTAAATACATACCTATGATCAATGGTGACAATCATCATACCAGAAAAAAGGAAGATTTTATCATTTCCAATCTTTTTCCATATGTCATCGATCAAATCCTTGCCTTTAGCAAGGTTAGAAATAAAATGAATTTGTACAGGAACTCCGCCACTGCTCAGTGCAAGTGTAGAAGTCTTTACAATATCTCGTATATGATTGCAAAAGAAATAATACTTAAGCAGATGAATAATCTGATTGAGGATTTGAGCACCAGAACTGGTAAATTTATTAAATATATTGTTGACATAAATGCTTTAAACAATCATGGTGTACTAAAAAAAAACGTTATGTGTTCGTACCTGTCTCTAGGCACACCTCTAGACCAGTTTAATACGCGTTCTTGTTGCTTAAGCAAATGTCTCCGATGACATCTCCTCAATAAAAGATCCATAGCTAATTTTAATACTGTACATGTAAATGATGCAGATGGCTCTGGAGAAATTGTCATATCAAAATTATCTGTTTCTGAAGTCCAAACATCATCTGCAGATGGGGCCTCTTCGATAGTGTCAATATTGGCCTGTTAAAAACACGCTTAATATAATCCACGAAATGGCTTTTAAATCATCCTTTTAAACGTACCCATTGAATCGTTAAATCTATACCCTCATATATCCGAACGAATATTTCATTCTCAATTAACGTGATACCAGGTATATTACGTGCTTCTCGTACTAGCTAATTTAATATCAATTTTGGAATAAATAAGAGAACAGATATAAACATGAATCAGAGCAACAGCAAATGCTATTCCAAATATAGAAAAGTGCGCATACATGTATATGTTGATTGTGAATTATTAAATGAACTTCCAATATTTATGTTATTGTATAACATACCTGATCAAATAACTCGTTTTCAAAAATAGCTTTTTGAGCGGTAATAAGTTGTTGGTGAATGTTTGAACCTTCGGCTGATTCTGAATGAAGCACTTAAATAAAAAAAAGTATATTAAAGAATTGGTTGTCCCTTTTTTAAAAAGGCCGCCAAGAATAAATTAATTACAAGAATTCTCTTGAACAGAAGGTGCACTGTTTGATCTTTGTTGTAACCGTAGTTTGACTGCCTTCTTAGCTCTTTGAGGTAATGATACCGCCACTTGTTTTTCATCGGGTGATCTTAATATTTGTGCCTTTGAAACATCCCCATGATTCGAACCAACTGCGATGAATAAATAATTCATAAATATCGATTCTTATAACACAATCGAATTATCGCAAGCCTACCATCTGCATATCCATAATGGACAAAAATCTGCTGTCCAATATTCTTTTCTTTATCGCCACGACGTAGGCTCCAATGATGTTCTCGTAGTGATAACATTTCATTCCAGAATGTCTTTTCATTGTTTACGATATCATTTAGTCTTGAAGCAGCAGAAAATAACATATCTGCAGAATTTTTGAGTTGCTATTATAAAAAAAAAATCAATTATAAAATTTGAACGAAAAAAGACAATCCGTGCACATAAAATTAGATATTAGACCATTCGTTTCATTCCCAACATCAATTTAATATCTTGAACTTGAGAATCTTTAGTGGGTTGGGGATAGAAAGGATAATCATGAGAGATCAAACCGGGAGCAACCGGATACGGATTGTTAGGAATAAAATTTGTCTTATGTTCAGCTAATATTAGATTCATAACATCAATTCCAATTGCAATTTCATTATGTGATGCACTGAAATAAACAAATTATGGAACGCAATTCAGAAATAGATCGTTAAAACCGAATAACGCAAAAGTGTAAGCGAATGGATGAAGTATAGGATAGTTATTCTTACATAACATTCTTCATAATTGCTTCATTCATTTTTAAGAGATCTGCACTTTTGCCGGAAATTGAATTTTCTATTTTGCTCTCAATATCTTTTTCATTTTCGTCGTTAGTTAACGAATCTATCGTAAGTGACTTAAATTGACGTTGTTCATGTATTTTTCTAACTTGGATTTCAAGTTTTTCGTTTGGAGCTAGCTTACTGTTGTTGAAATTAACGTCCAAATGATATTGGAAATCGATTTTGATCAGAAATAAGAGGAAAAAAAAAATCGGAACTATTCCTACGGCTTATATTCTTCAGACCCATCGGGTTCGTTTACATCGAACGGAGCTGAACCTATTCGAGGCTCAAGGGACAATTTGGGTAAACTATTCTCCATGATTTTAAATAATACTGTTAATTTCGCTGGCCGATTTAGGGATAATCTAAAGCAGAGGGAGATCACGTGATACATGCATCTATGTTCATCTTCCCCGGTCTAGGGCTAGTCACTTTCTGCTGCGATGGACCCCAAATTCTGCCTGCTCTATCAATCGGTTTATGCGAAATTATGCTATAAATTCTTAAAAATATGCTGCGAATTATGCGGAATCAGGTAGAAATATGCGATCACATGCGGCTACGGATAAAAATATGTAATCATTTTAAAAGCAAACAATTTTGAATTTAAAGTATCTAAATACAAATAAATTGACTTTAATAAATGATAAATATCAAAAAAAAGAAAAAATCAAATACATAATATATAAGGTGAGTGTGGGTATTATGGCGAATGTGGGTAAAATGGCGAATTGTGCATATTACAAGAAAACAGGATTTTTTATTAAGCAAATCGAATTTCATCCATTAAGTAAA